AAAACAAATCATCAACCATACCAGGCAGAAATGACCCAAAAATGACTCAGAACACATGTTGGACCAAATGTCTTGTAAGTTTCTATGGAATGAACTTCACAAAACGAGCTCCATCGCATCGCGTTCCAACGTTCGATCGGCGACAATCGGCAGTCGATCCAAACCCCGGCGTCCACGCGGCCCAGCGAAGGAGTTCACGCGGATGACCTGGATGGATCATCGACGGACTGTGAGTCATGGCACCTCCCCCACTGTGACGCGATGGGAGCTCGGTCGACATCCGATTTCTTCAGCCTGAAGAGCTGGGTGTCACCGTCTTGTTGAGAAGTCTTGAACTGTTTGAACATGAGACGAAACAGAGAAGATCCATTGACATGTTGACGTCCTTAATACAGTAAAGGGATCTGTTTCATTTGACCTGGGGTCAAGCCCAGGTACCCTTTGGTGCCATGACCGACGGGATCATTCATAGGATTCCGGATTCGACGCGAGCGATAAGTCAAACCCAGATTTGTTGTTTAGTGCTCTAGTTTATCTGTGAAAACTATTGAACACTATTTGCTCCAAATGTGAGGACACTGTGCTTGGGTTGGTTGAGAAAAGTTTTGAGCGCCTGTTAGTGCGACGAATCATCTACAAGAGTCATTTTGGGGCGCCTGCAAGCTTGATTCCTGGGAGAAACCCGATACCCACAGGCTCAGTGCTTGGCAAGGGAAGAAGTGTCGCGGCTAGTGTATGGAATCATGACAACATGGCCAGCAGCACGCCCAAAAGCATTGGCGGTGAAAGCTGGTGAGAAGAGCATGGAAAATGCTGCAGCACCAGGGTCTTATGTAAGTCTGAATCTTCTTCACCTGAACAAATGCAGTAATAGGTCTGAAGCTCTAACATGTGCATACATGTGCTATCCTCAAAAACAAAAAGCAAAAAAGAAGCTCGAACCCTAAATTACCCCAAGCGCTGCAAAAAGTGCCTGTCCTTGGGAATGTACTCGATGACATCGCCGGTGAGATATCCAGTGCCTCGGTACGGATGACACTGTCCAACAGATTTGGCGAATTTGCTTGGTCGCCCCGACAAGAGCGGGGTCAACCTGGAACCGTATTGTATTATAGAGCGTCATATATAGGCCCTTTGAGGAGACCCATGACTCAAGAATCCTGAACTGCCAATGGCCCAACGATGTGTCACCGTTGCTGATGGATCGTGAGCTCCATCGGTTCAGCTAGGTGTCAGGTGGGATTTCACAAAATGAATTCCAGTTGCAACCAGGACATCGCCACCAAAGCGACTGGTGGAACATGGTGGAGCAACTCGAACTCTAGTTCATGCACCTGCCGAGTACACAAACCCCAAAATGCACAAACACAAACACACACACACACCAACTGATGGCAGAATTCTGCCTACCATTGCAAATTACCTGACAGCACAGTTGGGTGTGGCTCAGACAGTAAGACCCAGAACTACCCTCACATGTTGATGTGTGTTGTTCTAATTCCTTTAGTTGACCAAGGGTTTTAGATGGTTTTGGGTGGCACCCCAATTTTCAGCCATAGCCATTTGTGAATCTACCACGCCTTGAACAGGAGATTCCGGACACTGACGAGTGGTTTCTGAAGGAAGAAGCGTGAGTGTAAACGATCCACTGCAACGGGAAGGAGGAAGTTTGTCTGTTCACCCCGTAGCGCATGTTGCACTCACTGCAACATTAAACGACATGTGAACGTAGTTTCTCATGGAGCTCTTGACATGAGCAAAAGCGCCGCGGTGCCCTTTTCCTTCGACAGCCTCCGAAAACGCTGACGCGGGTAGCAGGGCGCAGTCGATCGGAAGGCTCTATGCGCATGCAAACTCCGTCGCAGCAAAAGGAGCGACGACTGGAGCAAAGATCACAACAAATCCGAAGGCGCAGGTGGGTCCAGGAAGAACTCTTTGGATGTCACTTGACACATGTTACATGGTACTTCCCCTCCCAAAACAGTCTTTGCGTTTTGACCCAGGGTGGGGTGGGAGCGCATTTAAAGCAAAAGGCTCTATTCTAGGGTGCTGGCCAGGCACTTTCATCAGTGCAGGGTTGAAGGCAACAATCCAGTGGCTTGGGGGTATTAGGAACACGATGGATAGCTTTGACGGGAATCGGGCCAAAGCTGTAGTACCAACTGGAATCAGGGAATGAAGCAGGAGCACCGAGCAGGGTAACGAATGCAAGTCCAGGAGCCCGGAGTCTTCAAGAATTGCAAGTCCGGGCCTGTTGTGCAAATCGTTGCAGGAAATTCAGCCCACCAAGCAGTGATGTTTCTTCAAATCCATCTTAAGCAACGTGACACTCAGCATCGTACGCTGAGTTAGCCTCATGCAGGGCCAGATTCAATCCATCTTTTGTATTCTTTGCGGCCTTCGGACGGTCTTTCAGCTGCACGTTTTTGTTGGAAAACTGTTGCAAAACCTGGGGTTCTCAGGGCCGGCTCTGGCAAACACATAGACGGCCTCCCAGGTTCGGCGGGTTTTGCGAGGTCACGTCATACAAAAAGGACGACACCTTGCCTTTCTGCTGGAAATCCCTACAATAACGATGAATTCTACTGCCTTTGGCTTTCAGGTGCAGCATGTTGCTTGCTAGTGATGCTAGTGCTCTCCTATAAATGAGCATGGGTTATCATGATATCTCATGTACTTATCATATCTTATCCTTATAATTGAGTGATCTCTCGCGCATCCCCTACCGCCAAGATCACCACGCGGGATACAGTAGGCACACCACGTCTGGGATGGAAATTATCTTGCAAAGCTTCATGCAGTGAATTATGGACAGCTCGTGCATCACTGGTCTGTCTTGTGGACAGCTAAGCACCGCTGTCCCAAAATTCGGGGCGAAGCACCGCTAGAAGCGTCTGGGTGGTTTTGTCTTCCAATTCACCCGAACTTGCGCGTCTCAAAGGTGCATGGTGCTGCTAGTGGGATGTCAAAAGGTCGCACAGAACTTGATAGCAGGCTACGCAGCTACACAACCTAATCATGGAAGTGGAAAAGCACCGGTTTGTAGAGGATGTCATGGTCATCCAAGGGACCATGCCATCCACTTCCATGGTACTTCCGGGGACTGTGTGCTCTAGACTCTATAGACTCTAGAACAACTCATTTGCACATAATCTGAGCAAGCTTCCAGCGCCCCTGAGCGCTCGAGCGCCAGAGCGCGAGATGACTGAGATGACAGAATGAAGGCTTTCTCTGGGGCGAACGGAGAACCTATGCATGTTATGTGCATACTGATGTGCATATATATATATATGTGCATATATCATCATATATCAAGGGTCCATTACCAAGGAACCATTCACTTCAAGGAACCATCATTACCTGTGAACAGGGAACCCCTGATGACATATGAAAGAACACATTGCGTCATTGGCGGTCCATCAAAGGGTCCATTTAACTTCCTGATCCAAGTGGTTCATCCTTCTCCCCTCTCAGGCCTGGGTGATATGCTGAAATCCTTCCCAACTGGGGGAGCATATTGTGACAAACGTGTAGTACGTATATAGTGCTACTGCGTATATGTGCATGTCATGTGCGTGTCTGTCTTCTGGTGGTGCAAATTTTATCCATACTGCGCGCAAAAGATCTTCCAGCTGAGATCGCAGGCGTTCAGGCAAACAGCACTCGTGCGACCAAAATCGGAGACAAAGCTTGGATTCCGATAGTCTCGAACGGCCTAAACAGGTCAACTGAGGCCGTGAAAATGTTGGACCTCTGAGGCCTCATGGTCAGTGAGGCTCATGGTCAACTGATCAACGCCGCAGCTGGCGTTGATTTTTCCGCAAAATGGTCTTCCTCTGAAGCTCTTGAAAAAGAACCCATGTGAATGGGGAATGGCCTGAAGTTAGCTATGACTGGCGACTCCTGCGTCATTCTGTTCTAGCTGGTTCTCTGGTACCGGGAGATTAGATTGCTATGGGATTCCAGTTCTGCCCGGCAAAGAAACGAGGCATCTCAGTTCATGGTCAACATGGCCGCATGAATCGATCACTCTGGACCTCAGTCGGTCCTCAACTGGGCCTCAGTTGCGACAACAGCATCCTGTTGTACACGAAAGACTGAATTAGAACACCCCCATGAAGATGTGCGGCGCGTCCGATGTGCGGCGCCATGCAACTCAACCTCTTTCACTGGCAGAATCACTGCTTTTCACTGAAGAAAACGAGACACCTTTGAGTTGCCTAGGTCTCTGATGTCTCTGTCTGCCTTCATGAAGCCATTTGATTCTTTCGTCCAAATGGATGAATGATCAACGATCTCAAAGGTCGGATGCATGTCGCTGCGACATGCCAGAGCCCAACAAGTGATAGTATTCGTCAACATCGTCGTCGTGGTCGAATTCCTCGAAGTGTTCAAAAACCGCTGCCGCTTCAAAACCGTGTTCAGACTCTGGCAGCCCGCGCCTTTCGGCGTGAAAGCTCTGCGTGCCACACCGCGGGAGGAACGAACGAGAGCCATCACCGATGCCGAAAATCAGAGGATCCTGCGAGGACTGGGTTCTAAGGATTCTACTACACACTTGGTCACTTGGTGCCATGATAAACCAAAATTAGAGGCCGACACTGACATGGAAGTGTCCAACACATTTGAACTTCAAACAGTACACCTTTTCACGTACAGCATCATTGGTCCGGACCAGTATGAAAACAATGCATAGATATGTACAGCTGGTCTTTGTCTTGTTCAAAGCACTTTTGTCATACTCTTATCCAATAGCCATGAGATTAACTGCAATCCTTGTAGCGCGGTTTGGATAGGAAGATGACACGCAACATGTAAGTAAGCAAACGTGCTGCCTTCATGGCCTCAATTTGGCAAACACTTGGAGGTTGACTGATGCATGAGCGCAAAAACATCAGAAACTTTGCCGGAAAACCACTGGCCGAGGGTGATGACTCAAGATATATAGATTGGATTAGAGCCCATTCGGGCTGTTTCCATGGCTCGATTATGGAATTTGCTTAGCTGCTCAATCGAAGCTCATCCAATGCAAGCAACTGAGCAAAAGTCCCGCAAACCACCAGCCTTAGATGTGGCAATTCAGGTGCAACTTGAAAAATAACAACTAACAACAACAACTGTGGCAAAGGGCCCCGAAATGAACAATTGTGCTCTCCTCAACAATCACCGCTGTTGATTGGGAGAGTATGCACTTCAAAAGCTTTTTAAACAAAGAAAGGGCACCTCCAAAAAGGGGTGATAGAATAAATCATGTATATAGAATTATGATACTATAAGGACTATGATAGATTGACTTGATGTACTCCCTCGGTGCCATGCGACCCCGGATCCACGCCAGGTGCAATGAAATATTGGTGGTTCTTCTTGTCCTGGAGCGCAAAGCGCAAGCGCAAGCGCACGAGCGCGCACGGGCGGTCACACGTTGACAAAGACATTCATCCCTTCTTGTCCGTTGGTGGTGGTGGTCCCGAAGTAGACATCACCGTTCTGCCCACAGTAGATATCACAAATAAATGTTATGTTTGATGAATAGCAAGTTCAAGGGGAATGTCATGTCATGTTCGATGTTCCGTTTGGCGCCGGAATTTATCGAACACGGGCCGATCACTGAAGTCCAAATTTCAGTCGACTGGCTCAACCATATCCACATGTTCCTGGCTTTACATTGAATCCCGGCACCAGGGCCTTGCTCGGTGGGGTTGCCACAGACCAAACGTTAACACGACGCCGAAAGTGAAGGGCACCAAATCTGTGGATAATCGGATAAAGGATGAAAAGGGATGATGAACATCGTCATTGGCCGTCAGCTTGAACATGCCCTCCGGTCTGCTTCACATCAAAAGTCTGGAGGCCCCTCCGACTTCGATCTCCTTTGGCTCAGGGGGGGTCTAGTTCAGCAAATTCAACCAAATAGACATGGATATCAAACTGAATCATGGGGGGGGTTGAATTCAACTTGGGAGCTATCATCTCCCATAAACCGTGCTTCCAAGGAAACATCACCAAAACCTCTTCTCCCGCTGCTTTGACAGCATCACTGCTGTTGGCCTGATTCCAACTGCCTCTCCCCCGCTCCAAGTGCCCACGCAAAAAGAATCAAAAAGACATGTGTGAAAGGCTTTGGAAACCCGATCAGAGGCCCGACCGGGCCACCCGGCCCCACTTCTGGGGACGATCGCCGCGCCGCCCTTCTTATTCTTCACTAACCACCTCGGTCGGCCGGCATTGAAGAGTCCATCATCTCTGGCCAACTCGCGAGTTGGACATTATATACCAAATTACATACATATCACATTACTACAAATTACATTACATACATTATACCTAGAAGATCCTTTGGGCAGAAATTCTTGCCTTTTTCGGGAAGAGCGGCTCTTCCCGTCCTGGGGCGGAAATCAGCTGTTTGCCGCGGAAATGTTTTTGTTGCCGCGAATATTCCCTTTCAGGAATCCAGTGAGACAAAGACTACATATTCTAGAGGAGTTGAATATTTTTGTGGTTTACATTGGGCATTTCTGCCTGGAACGGTCACCGCAATGAAAAAAGACAATTTGCAGCGCTTAAGTTTCCACCTCCACCTGCAAATCTGGCTACCATCATATCATATATTATGTGTCTTTGTTTTTGAAGGTTTCTTGTGCGGAATGATCACAAAAGGACTAAAATCAGTCCAAAGTTGAAAACACCTGGCGCGAAAATGCCCGGGAAACAGGCAGAAATACCCGGGAAAGAGGCGGAAATACCCGGGAAAACGGCGGAAATACCCGGTTTCCGGCGGAAATTTCCTGGTAGAAGGCGGGATTCAAGAACAGTGCCTTTGATGCCTTTGAAGGGCTTGAACATATGTCCCAGCCTCTTTGTGAATGTCATGAATTTAGAAGTGTCAAAATCGTAGGGTGTCAGATCTTGAGATGTGAAGCTATGCAGAACGATATGTGGTCTGCAATCATGGAAGAGACAACCTGGTAGGTTGTAATGGTTTTTGAGTTGCTATGTTGGATTTTGCTTGAGGCAAAAATTCCCTGCTGCCCGCGGAAATTCCTACCTGGCGCGGATTTCCCCTAAATCCGCGAATCCTCCCGGGCAAATCGGACTGAGGCAGAAATTTCTGCCCCAGGTGCTTCTAGGTATACCACATTATACCACATTATATATATATACCCAACAATAGAAGACGACGACGACGACGACGACGACTACTACGACTACGACTACGACTACGACTACGACTACGACTACGACTACTACGACTACTACGACTACGACTACGACTACTACTACTACTACGACTACGACTACTACTACTACTACTACTACTACTACTACTACTACTACTACTACTACTACGTACTACTACAACAACAACAAGTACTACTACCAGTACTACTACTAGTACTACTACTACGACGACGACTACTACTACTCCTACTCCTACTCCTACTACTACTACTACCACTATTTCTACTACTACTATACTACTACGACTACTATTACTACTACTGCTACTACTACGACGACTGCTACTACTACAACTACATACGTCATCTTTCGCTGTGACGGCGTGACGCCGTCGGACTACCAAGCTTTCCTGGAGCGAACACTCAAGCAACATCTGCCCGTTGACCACGCATGACCACCGATGTGAAGCTGAATCCTATCCGGCCTTACTAACCATGTAGTCTGGCGCACTCAACGAAAAAGATCCGCTGAACCCTGGGTTCGGGGATCAACCACCCAGTGCGGAGTTTTTTTTAGATATCAAGTTATCAATGTCTGCGCGAGAAATTGGGATGGGCTTGAACTTCCAGTAGCTTCTGTTCAAAAAAATAACTCGCCAAATGTTTCTTGCGTGAGGCTGCGGAGCGGCATTCATTCCGTCTTGGTTTCTTCATGCTCTGCACCAGCAGCTTGGCATTTCAAAGAAGCAACCGGTGCCGCATCACCCCCCATCCAGGACTCCAGGTGGGTGACACCCTGACAACGATTATTTAGCCAACAAACCATCTACGCAAGAGAATCTGCCTACAGTGGTGAATCAGCGTGAATCTATGTAATTCCTTCCTTAGTAGACGCTGCTAACTTGGATTTGCCTGCGCAAAAGAAAACATCTGGAATCTGGAAGAATGTGCCCCCGGATCGTTTTCTTGTTGTTTCCTCAAAAGTGGACGACACCCTGAGCATCCCAAAAAACCTTCGGGGTCAGATTCCTTGAGCATCCAAAAGTGGTTCAGTGGATCCAAGTTCGTTCCCAAACACCTTGGCGGTGGCAAGCCGAGCTGTAAGGAAATCGTCCATGCCTTGAGGGCGGACGCACACATCGCTGGGCGACACCCAAAATCGACGCGAAAACATGACTGGGGCACACATCGCTGGATTCTTGGGTCTGAAATACATGCTTAGAAAGTACCAAATAGGTGTACTACCAAAACATGAACAGTTTTTGAGCATTCTGAAGAGCCTTCTGTTCTGTGTGCAACAGAACCGGGGGACCCAAGACCACACCCGGTCAACAAACCAATCTGCACCTAAACCCCTTGCGCCATGGAGGTCTCCATATTCTTTCAATATCCTCCATGTTTGGAATTCCCCGGTGTTCCAGGCCACAGCGACTCCTGTCAGCCTTTCGAAGACGTCTTGGAAGACTCTGGCAGTGGAGTGGTGGCTCAAGAGTCAAGAGTGATGAAGACCAGAAAAATGATAGTTTGGTTGGTTGTGCCTCCTTTGTGAGCTTGTATCCTAGTGAGGAAGCTCCCAGCTCAGTGGGTCTTCCCAAGACTATCGGCTGTCCAACTTTATCGGTTCTTTTTCATGTTTGTTCTCTCCTCTCAACTCAACAAAGATCGAAAGAATGTCCACCCACCGAGGCCGTTATTTGACTGCGACAGAAACAGCCACGGCTATTTGTGACCTTCACCCCAGTGGACCCTGTCTCTGCCCGGGTGCGGAGTCCCCCTTGAAGCTCCCCTCCTTGGTGCAACGAGGTCGAGAGAGTCTCGTGAACGAGGACCAGTGTGATCGGTCCATCAATGGCATGGTCGGCCCGTCAATGCTCAAAATGAGTTTAACTCTGTATATCTTTGTGTACATAGACGCATTTATGTATGCATAGTAAGCAATATTTATATATACACATAGAAATACATGGTATACAGAATGTACGTTATTGTGTAATGTTTGGAATTATCTTCCCCTCCATATCCCTTCATGGTCCATGCCAGTGTTCCTTCCTTCGGCCCAAATGGCTAGCCTGGCCTGCCAGGTGCGCCAGCTTGGTGGCAGAGAATGGGGATTTCCTCTTCTTGTTGGATGGCCTTGTAGTTTCCAAGTGGGTGGACGTGTAAAAATACACCCAGCAAGGATCGAACTGGCGACCAATTGTGCAATCGAACTGGAGTTCCCAGAAGTCAAGTGATCTGTCATTGGCCTGGTCTAGCCTTGTCCTACGGGTTAAGGCCTCGAATTCGGCCGAGCCGCGAACTCCCCCTCCGCTCCCACGTCCAAGCATCCATGCGCATCTTGGCATCGAAGGAAAATGGTGGGCGCGACAAGGTCGCCCAATGGTAGAGCATATTGCCTCACAAGGAGTCACCCGAGTCAGTCACACGAGCCAGTCACCCTGGAAGAGTGGGTGCGTTTGTGACCTGACATGTCAAACCGTGGCAGGGAGCCAAACTAAGGAAGCCATACAATCTGACACGAGCCAGTCCAAGTACGAAATCACTGCCAAAAGAAAGGTCTAACCACCAGCTGGTCTGGTACATATTAATTCAGCCTAGCGAAGCTATGTTAGCAAAGGGCGGGTACACGGAAAAAATATGAAAAAATGGCACGCGCATTTGTATAGTTCTCAATTCCCTCCATGAAAAGCACGGTGCTCGGTGAAACCACGTGGAACAACAATTGCAATGGCAATGCTCTTCGGACGTTGACCAGCGGCCACGGAATGAATTCAAGGCACTCCCTTAAGAGTCTCCTGTTGGAGGATCTTTGCTCGAAGATTGAGGTGTTTGGCAATAAGATTTGTCAATAAAACTATGTAACTATATCAAACTATAACCTGCAAATGAATAGCATTCTTTAAGGCATTCAAAGGCAATCTGACACCATCTGACACCGTGTTTTACCGTGGTGCGCCAGCGGGGTGCCGTTTCTTTGGCTTCACGAGCTGACCAGCAAAGGGAGCATCTTTCAGTCGCAACAAGTTCACCCAACGCATAAGGTTCACCTCATTGCCTCAACACTCCATGTATGGCATATAATTATATGCTGTGACTACTTGCCCGCAGTACAAAAATGCTATAATATACATATATATATGTAAATGTATGTAAATAAAATATTCCCCAAATTTCGTGTTCAAAGATATCTTTTTCTGGGTCTCCCATGTTGTACCACGTCCCAGGGCAAGCGAGGCGCCCTCCATGCTGATTGTCTGACACCCCGACAAGGGCTGTTTGCCTCGGCCGCGACGCGAGTCAACCGGTGGTTCTTGGGACTCGACCTGCTCTAAACGGTTGGGATGGCGAGGACAACCAGCGTAGCCTCACAGCTCAAGGGGGCTGAAGGTCCAAAAAGAACTCTGAAAAGCTCAGGATCCACCCCAGTTTAGTGTTCTATGATGGTTGAAGGTGCATTGACTTAAAGAATGTATGGTACACTCCCCCAAAATCACGTGCCACCCCAACTTAGAGGAAGCGCACATCTTCCCAACATTTCCCAACCACCAAGCCAGATTTGATGAGGTGCTGACCTGACCCCACAAATGCTCCATAAATGCGCCACCAATCAAAGCCGGTCATGTGGGGCAGTACAAACTTCATAAGCTGCTTGGTGTCTTCACTATGCGCTGACTTGAAGCATCCCCAAGATCCCAAGGCAGCCAAGGCTCCATAGATGGCATAGTGGCTACGTGTGCTTTGAAGCGGCCTTTTCTTCTCAAGGGTCTGCATAGCACCTTCGCAAGGGCGCTAAGAATCACCACAATGGGCAATGACTATGGCAAAAGCTTTCCCAATGAATTTGATTGGGTGTTTCAATGGAAGTAGCTTGGGGGAAGGGAGGTTACCTGGATTATCGATATACGTCCCTGATGTGAGTCTGCTGGTGATTTCATTTTGCCATCATTGCTATCTTGAATTTTTCGCACTGGCAGACTGGCACTGGCACTGACTATTGATCGCCTATTCCGGGAATTGGGTTGCCGATGGAATTCCATGCAGGGAACGACTCCTATTAGTGTCGAAGTGCACCAGCCCCAAGTCGGAAGACCATCTGATGGGCCCCTACTGGATACTTCCAAATCTTTACGGACGACAACTGCAACCCAAACACAATCTCAATTCATTTGGGTGTGTATTTTAATAAGGAGATCCCCAACCAATAGGGTTTGGTCTATTTTCATCTATAGAGGGTCTTTTGGTCTATTTTTTCATCAATACGATTGAATACGCACCCATTTGAATCAGCAGTCCCATATGTCTACTCATATGTCTTTACCGTTCCCATCTGAAACAGGTGTCACATGGTGTCGCCTGTTTCCCACGCCAGTTTCCAACCCGAACTGACCTCCCAAACTCGGGGGGGTTCCGCCGGCGGACAGCCCGACTCGTGCCTAAGAGTTCATCGCTTGGGCCGCGGATGAAGCTGAACTTCCTGGCGTCTCAAGGAGCTTGGAGATCAGGTGAGAGGATGGCAATGTGTGGACAACTGGATGCAACGGGATTACTTTTTTTGATCATGTACAATCAAATGGAAGGAGGAGGAGGGCGGGATAGCATTCTTGATGGGGACAAAGACCAAAACACACCAACAAAACAAACCACTGCGCAGGAACACCTGGAGCTTCGAAAGATCAAAGACTTCCATCACAGCTTTGTATGCGTTGTGCCCTTAGTCCGGAGATGAAAGGCCTCCAGCATTTTCCGAGCCATTTGGCTGTGAGTTCAAACCTGGAGCCCCAAAAACAACTGGTATATTAACCCTCCCTGGTTGGTCTATTCTATTCATTCTCCGTGGCCCTGGAATCCAGGAAATGACTCTGTGGTCGCCCACTCCGTCCGGGTCGCCTGAAGGATCGGTGCGGGCAAAGCTCCAGGCAAAGCACGCAGTTGCCACTCGGCATCGCACGCACGGCAATCCTTGGGAGTCGAGTCGCTTGGTCGTGGTGTTCAGGCACCGGCGCTTCGGTCTGCGAAGGGCTAGGTGGGAGGAACATGGGTTTCATGGTTTCATGCAATGGGTGGGGGGGACGTGCGAAAGCAAATCAAAGGAAGTGCACCGTAAAAAAATGTGCACATTTAGAAGTCGAGAACGCTAGGATGGAACAGGCGTTCTCCAGGTCAAGTGTTTGTTACTTGTTCAAGCAATGCGCCTGTTCTTGGTGTGTTCCTTTCTCCTTTGACTCCCTTAGGAACAAACACCCACTTGCGCAACCAGAAAGCATTTCACTCTGAAGCGGCGCCCTCCCCGAGAAAACAAACAAACAAATATGTATATATATCGTAAACAGAATCCACTCGTGGATCGCCCTTCTTCCGTCGTCTGAGGGTCTTTTCGTGCATCCCGACGCCCTCGTCGTAGTCAATCTGACTCAGGCAAACGCTCCATGGCGTTACCCAGTAGGACTCCATCTGCAAGCTCGGGGGCATACCTCTCACCGCTCGCTCTGAAAACCGATGTGATTCACGCGGTGAATCGGGAGTCGGATGTTTATCGGAGGATTTTTTCCTTCTGCTCCTAATTACGTAGACTTGAGTGACTTCGACTGAGTTCTTCGTTGGTCGGGGAACTGACGAGTAAGTCACGGTTGTTTGATGTTTTTAGTCAGCAAGAACCAACACGGAGATACAGCGAGTCATTAAGATTAAGTTCGATGCTTGGATGGTGTTGGCATCCTCTTTTGAGAGATGGGGGGTGAGGATGGCTCTCTTTTCGTGGCGGAAAAGGGACCAGGATTGGCAGGATGCAGTGGAGATTCAAGGATGGGAACCCCACGAAGAAGGATGGTCTGTATATATAAGTCTCATCCGAGGTCGTCATAAACCATGTGGCATCTGAATCTGGTTTTGTATATCGTATGAAAGTATGACCATCCCATCTTAGACTTCAAACCAAGAACCCACATGGGAAATATGCGTACCGACTCCCATGATTCATCACTGCCACTTCACACTTCACACTTCGCCAGGACTGCCACCTAGATAACTGCCACCGAGTTACATGGAAGGAAAGGGCCGGCTTGGCGGGGCATCTGCGCCGCAAGGAAGTCATCCGGGTTAGGCAACTTCCCCTCGCCTTAGGAGGACCGTGTCACAGCTCAGCTGCCTCCCATGTCCCAGGTCCAGCTGCGAGACGCCCCCCCCACGGAGGCCTCGTTGGTTCCTCTGGACGCTCGAGAGATAATTATGATATATATATATACATATCACGGGGGTTGGGGAGGCCTGAGGGGGGGGGGGCTATGGTGCTTAGGGTTTGCTCATTGATAGTGTGCAAACTGTGCGCATTCTTATTAAGCTTCTAATAATTACTAATAGCAGCTATTAAGCTTTTAATAGGCTTTAACCACCATGGAAATGGCCTTTAATAAGGTCTTGGCAATAAGACCCTAATAAAGTCTTATTAGCCTTGGATAGACAAATGAGACCACCCAATCCCAACCCGATGTTTTCATCCATCGGCTCCGCTCGATTTGGCCACCGTTCCTTTCGGGGCCCTGGCTCCAAAAAGCCAGCGACTGTTCTTTGACAATCGATTGAGGGTTTCATCAGTCATGAAATTTATAGTTTATATATATATATATATATGTGTGTGTGTGTGCGTGTCCAGAATCTACCACCAGAATTTCAAAAGCTATATAGTGCTTAGGCCTTTTGTGGGGTTCAATTTGAGGGCTCCTTTGGTGGCATTCCTGGCCTCACCAAAAGCCTTCTGGACAAGCTATTCAGGGCTTATCCATGGGTTACCCTAAAAACCTCCTGCCTTGCAGATTCCCCCTTATCCAAGGCTTATCCAGGTCTTATCCAGAAATTAGCCAGTGCCCTCAAAAGTTATCGATTTTGGTGCCTCAAAAGGTTCCCAAATTGATTAATGATTCATTGGCTGATAGATCAGCCATGATCAGCCCATGCCAACTGGACAACCTGAATTCAATTCCTCTTTCCTTCCACCAAACAACATTATGAGCAGCAACATCTGCTGAGCCGTCGGATGGTCAAAATCCGCCACGGCAAAAAACGTGCACATGTCTGTTTTGGAGGGCCTGCAGGAAGGGGGCTGATCTGATAGTTATTTGATGTTATATAATTGATAGCTTAGTCATTCTCTAAAAAGGCCTTGGGCATAAGGTCCATAGCCGCCCCCCATCCCCCATGATTACATAGATATACTTACCGTATTCCATACGCCCACGTCAAGAATGGGGACCGTCTTCAATCCAGTTATGCGGGCCTTTCGGATGTGGTATCTTGGTACTATATAGTTGCCCACTGATACACCACCACTACATCCGGATCAATCCGAGCCATCCGTCGCTGGTGCAACTCTGTTCGCTCCCAACAGTTCCTTTTTTGAGCGAACAGAGTGTAGCAAAAAGGCATTAATTTGGTACTAAACTCAAATACACTATCATCAATAACACATCTATTATATACTATCACCAATACATCGTATTTGGTACTCAAATACACTATCTATTATGTGTGATAGGCCCCATCACTACTTTTAGTACACTACTTTAGTAAAGCCTAAAGTAGTAAGTGGTTGCTCATGTGACCAGCAGGGCACAGAACGGATCCAACGGAGTTTTTGGTGAGGGAAATTCAGTTGGCCAGCATGATGTGTCCAGTTGGCTGCGGCAGAAAGCAGTTGGACTTTCCATGAATGTTCTTACACGTCCTGTGCTTAGCAGTGTGCTTAGCGAATGCAACATTGCCATCAACAGCTGTTAAACAAGTCATGTTGCACCAACATGGACAAGTCACAGCACCCCATCGGCGAGAAAATGGATGAAATGGGTGAGACCGAGCCTAAATGCTGCAAGAAGAATAACCTGGGTCTTCGTTCAAGTGAGCACCGCAGAACCGAAGGGCAGGTCATTTGGATCGATTTACATCAACATTCGATGGAGAAAACATGACAAAAAAAAAAACATAACTATGTTTGAAACATCAAGGGCCGGGCCAACCCAATTATTTTGGCCCTGCTCCCCAAAACTCAAATAACAACACATGAACGAAGCCGTGCCCTCACCTGAGGGCATCTAGTGAATCTATTCAAGCTGACCCAACCGGCACGAAGTGTGGACATGAGTCTGTGGCTCCTTGAAATCAATGATTAGCATTATTCAACAACATTCAACGGTCACGGACACGTTCAAATCAACAACTGACTGTGATCAAGTGGTGTCGCAAAACTCAACTCGCGGATACCGACTCTATTACTACCATCTGCACCTTGGTAACAACTGTGCCCATTAACATCCCATGCCGAGGTACAGATGGTAGTAATCCTCTTACATCCTCTTATAGGACACCCATTTGCAGGGCTGTAAGACGTGCCCATTCACATCCCATTTACAACGTACCGAGGGTGGCGACCGCTCATCCGCGGTCCACCGCCCTCCCCGGTTCCACTGGTGGGTGGTCCACTCTCGTTGAAGACTCTCATTGGGTAGTCCCAGTAATGCCGCAAGAAAAGCGTGGTTTGATGTAGTTTGTGCCTGATTGTAAAGCCTGATGATGTGGGTGGCCACAGGTGCCGAGTCAAACTTGAATCATGACAGTGGGCCAGCTGTCCTGGCAACATATCCATGCTACCATGCAAAAAAGTAGCGCTCCAGCAAACAAGGAAACAAGCCAAAAGGAGCAAACCTTGATCCCAGTACATAGAGGAAGCCAAGCAAAATCACACACAACGTCAACAGAAAGGACACAATGTCTCAGAGTCTCCGCACACGTCAGGAACAAACCAAGGACTGCACAGGCACAACGTCAATCCAAGACGTTCGCATCAAGATCCGTTGCAAACCTTATAAGGTAGTCCTGACAAGTACCACTCTTAGGCAGCCTGCCTGAAGGCTTCGCAAGACTACCCTTATTTAAGGCCAAGAACTTCATGACGATTCCGAACTTTCTTTAGAGCTCTAGCCTCACTTGGGATTGCATTTCTCATTTCTTTGGCCCTGAGGTTCCCTGCCTCCCTTGAGACCGCCCAGCCTTCCATCTAGCACACCCAAGAACATTGTTTCAATCATATTTTTAAAGACGTACGACCCTCCCCTGTACGCCACCACGTGCAGAATACCTAGACTCCCAAATCCACGATTTCCAATTGGCATGAATGTGATTTCAAGTGTTTGGGCTCAACCAAGGTCCCACGGTCTTGATTTCATTAGTAAAGCGATTGACTTCCAAGCTCGACACTTCCTTTTGCCGCCTCCACAAAGGGGTCCTTCCGCTGCGCAAAAAATAACGGCCCTGCCACTGCTTTCCAAAAGTACAACACGAAGGACCTTCAACCTCAGGTGGAGGACCGAATGACCGTATAGATGGAACCTCATATAGAGGCAATCACTTCCGTGATGGAGGTGACTTTCATCGTTCTTTCACACTCACCTTCCCAAGATCGAAGCAACCAAGGGATATTCACCATCCCGATTGGAAGCAGTCCTACAGACTGAATGGTGTGTTCAACTGTGATTGGCATCGTTTGTCTCAATCAAATTTCCGCGCAAGATTTTTCTGCCACTGATTGTGGTGCAGCGGGGGTCAGCTCCTACCTTCTGAGCATGCTGTTGGATCTAAATAGAATTACGGCACATCAACTTAGAAAAACAATTGACCCAGAGGAACCCCTCAATTTCTCTGTATGTCCAAGGGTTGGACATTGTTTCTGCGTGAATGTGATTCAACTTGCAGCCACTGTTTCATTGGATCTCATGTTTCGGGCGTCTGGGAGAGCATTGCATGGTACATATATAGCAGTTTGCCGGGCATCCGTACCTCCACATTTTTTGTTGGGGGACGTTTTCGAAAGGTTATCTTCAGCATGTTGCTGACTACCAACACATTAACACCGGTAATAATCACAATTACGTCACGGCGGTGTCTCCTCCTCCAAGCTGCACTTCAACATCACCTTGGCAAGTTCAGCTATGCATCCAAACAACTCTCACTATCACTATGCAATGTTTAGAACATGCATTGTACAACAACAATGAGCTGAGATTCTCGTTGGAGTGCACATAAGCACCCGAAATGACCAGAACCTACTTCATGCATTCAAAAGCATATGTGACATATATGTGCTGTTTCCCTCCACGGCCAAGACGTCGGGTGTGACCGAGAAAGACGGGGAACGACGGCGTCGGGCGTGTAACACCTGGGAGTCGCGCGATGTCACCGGTGTGAAGGACCTCCATCCGGTCCAACGGTCCCATGGTGGCATCCTGCGCACCGAGCGGTGGAGAGGTGAAAGAAATGGAGGACACTCCCTCCAACACCAAACAAAGGCAATTACTGTGTAAATACTATAGATATATAAAGATATATAAAGCAAATGTGTATATAGGGATAAATTTGTTTAAATATAATAGAAACGTATGTATATTATGTTGCATTCCGCTACACAAACCAATTGCCCATCAAACCATCAAACCCTGTTTAGAGGAACATGGTCTTTTCATGCTTTGCTGGGACCTTGCCATCCACTTCCATGACTGTTGGAGGGCAGTTCGACCATCTGAGCTCCCAAACGTCATCAAGGCCATCATGCTTTGCACCTGTCAGTCGGTTTGGGCCTGGGTCGCCTTCCAAGTGTTGAAAAGCTCAGGAATTTCAGATCCGTCCCAAAAACGCAAAGAGATGTACGGAGATAAGGAAGGGAGGGTCCATGGACGCAACATGTTACACACACCTGTCTTAAACAAACAAGGGCAAGTTTGTTTGATAAATCGGCCTCGTTGAGGCCGCACATTTGCAATAGGAACCCTATTGGCCTCAACACGGGAATAAGGTCGCTGTAGTGTCACGCAATTTGAGCATCCTGTGCGATTATACTGGCTCAACCTGACCTATCCTTGCCCCTGAAAAAAATGAACATTTCAAGGACTAATCATGCGTAGGATCCAGGTTGCCAAAAATCATTGCCAAAAACGGATAAACTGATAGATCATGGTGGCCAAAATGGTTGGACCCCGTTTTTTAGTATATAGTCCTTGCGAACAGCCGGGGGTTGAACAAAAATACGTTTATGCACTCCACCCCTGGGATGTCAAAGGAGAACGGTTGAGAATGCTTAAACCTGCTCTCCCAAGAGTCCCAAATCATGGTTGGCACCTTGTCAGAACAACATGGTCCAACACTTGAAGCCCTTTAATTTCTATCCCTCCACCTCAAGTACCAGTGACCACTTTTGAATGAAACTCTACTTGAAAAGTGCAAGCCTAAGAGTACTATGAGTCAACTGCCCAATCAATGGTAATGTGATGTAATGTGCACGTGGATAAAAAGCTCGCCAACAAAGCTTTAAAGGAAACACGGGGGGGGTATAGTATTTTAATTTGGTCTATTGTCCTTCTTGCACGTGGTCTTTGGAAGGTCTCCCGATTTTCACCCACACCACTTCCGTCGACTCAAAGGAACTCCAAAGGTGTTGAACCCAACAAGCACAAGGAGCCCACAGCACCCACAGACCGTCGAAGCAGCCCAAACCACACCCCCAAACGAATAATTACAGCATCTATATAGAATTATATAAATATATAGCTGGAAACCAACATTTTTCCGAGTAGAATCCCTTTATCAAAGATTCTGAGATTCTCTGAAGGCAAATTTCTGAGTTGGGGGGTGAGATGAAACCCGACGAGCTCCGTGTTCGCCTGGCCGCGCCATCTGCTCGCCTGGCGCAAACTGGAATCGGCGGAGATGGAGGGAACGTAATAAGAAGATGCACAATGCACATATCATGAAAGAGAATCCTAGAGGCAAAAAAACAAAAAAGCAATAAGTAAACTTCAATGAAAAACGTGGCGAAACAAAGGTGAGCTACTGTTAAACTCAGGCCTTTTGAAGGTCTATCCACCGTTTTCAAGGACAACATCGTACATGTCACGATAGGGAAGAAGCCAACTGGAGAACTCCAATCACTCGAAGCCCCAGGCGTTTCACTATCAATTGCACAGCATGATGGGCCTTCCACTGAATTGACTTTGCCACCCTCGAAGCAAACAGGTCCTTCAGCGCAAACATGGCCATGGATTTATGTACTTGCCCCTTCTGAGCATCAAAGCAGTTTGATTTGATGTAACTTCACCCCTCCAATCAAAACGCCACACATCCTGATGGTATGTCCGGCTATGTCCGGCTCATCCATGAGAGGAAAATGGTCTTCCATGTTCATCCTCCCATGGGCATCCAATTTGATACAGTGGGTTCGGAGTAGATGGCACAATCCCCAAAAGGTGGTTTATATGGACCCCTATCTAAAGGACATCTTGGGGGTTGTGCCATCTACTCTGAAGCAACATGAAGCAACTGTACTATTTGTGTCTCTCCGCCACTTCCATGTTCTGACCCACCCCTTTCCCCTCCGGACCGACCGCTCGTCCCATCGCCTCAAGGCATCGTCACGTGCATCGTCACGTGACGAATCGACCGTGGTCCTTGTGACCGACCGAAAGCGCGGTGAAAAGCGCCCGGTTCCGGCGTAGGGGCACCGGTTCCGCGCCAAAGCAGATCAAATGAGCAGCTGGAATTGTGCAAAGAATATAAAGGCTCTGGAACTGGTTGGCCAAATGTTCAGCGGTCTGGATAGCGCAGCTTCGGCCAGCCTTGATGGTGAGGCTTAGGATAAACACCAATGGCAGCTTGGTTGTCAGCGAACTCCCGACGAAGGCTCCATGAATCTCTGGGTTCCACAGGGCTGCTAGAGCTGCTATCGCACCAAGCCCTTTTGATGGTGCTTGGCTATATTCTCCATTCTCTGATCCATGGATTTCATTTCTCCTTGATCCAGGGCGGCATTTGGGCTCTTCTGGCAGCATACATAATTCACATGCTGCTCAAGGGTCATGTGGCTCGTCTGGAAGTGCCCGAGTCGTTCTGTGAAGAGTGACGATGTTTCCCCACTGACAGTCAAAAGGCCAAACAAATCTTGCTTGCAATAGTTTGTGGAGGTCATTAAACATTGAAACAACAAACATGTGCAAGGACCAAGTGATCCCAAGTAAGCAACACAGTATAATATAGATACTAATACGCGCCGTATATATATATATGATAAAATAGGTGATTGCCACCCAAGAAACCTCACAACATTCACAACAATGCAAGCAAACATGCAGGAATCTCAGGCTTCATCTTCATGCAAATATCGTGACAACCCCCTTGCCCTGACAACATCCCCTCCGCATAAAGTGTCCGTTAACGCATGTATACGCATGTCCGTTTACGTCCTCTCTTGGGTCCCATGGGGGTGTGATGTTCTCCATTGTTCTGAACCCCCCCGACCCGACCACCGTCTTCTGCCGCACCGTCCTTCCCCGTCTTCCGCTCGGTCCACGCGGCTTCCGCTCGGAAGGTAGGCGATTGGCGATCCGAGGAGCGTCCAGGAGTGTCGGACTTTTGGATGCGATGATCCGAATGCCAAGGACTGTAGCAAGGTTTTTTGGGCATCCGTGAAGAATCAATGCAATGCTTCCAAGATGTTCCAAGCTAGGTTTAAAAAAAGAACTTGTGGACACAATGTGGCACCCATGCTTTCTTTGATGCAGCCGGCTCCGGGATTCATCACATGTCACTCCTGCCTATGGCCCAACCAGTGGTCAGTTGGGCCGAAGGATCAAGAAACTCTGAAAGTCTGGGTTGTAGATCTATAGCAAGTTTGTCATATGTTGGGCTATCCCCGCACCCAAAGACCGTTTCATATATCCTAGAAAACTGGCAGTCGAAATCCTGGGTGAGGAGATAGCCAAACATCCCCAAACCACACAGCTTCTCTTGAATAATTGTCTCATCTGAGATCCACACTCTCTTCACAGATCTTCACAGTGTCTTAACGGACTAAAGAACAACTCGAAGTGTTCACTGGGTCTCTCAACCTGGCAGCCGCGCAGAGTTGGAAAAAAGGCTGCCCGGCACCGGTCAGAAAATGAAAGCAGTCCACCCACGAAAGCCTCAGCGAAGCTAAGCTTTCAATGAAAGCACTGAAAGCCTCGTCTTCAATACACTGAAGAGCTCTCATGAATGAAGGAAATCGTCAACAAAGAAGGGTACTTGGGAACCAGCCAGGCATCCCCCCCACTTCAAAATTATTGAAACCCAAACTTCCGTCTCAAGGGCTTTTATAGCTCACCCCAGATTTTTTAAGTAATCATACATCCTTCGACGCGTGGCTTAGCATTTTGGATGAGGCATCTGAAATTACAGCAAAGGTTTGGTGTGACTATTTGGAGGGGGGGACCTCAAAGGAGCAAAAGATAGCAAAAGAATGAACAAACCCAAGCGGTGTGGCGTGTGGCGGCGCTTCCATGGTTTTTAGGTTTTTTGGGGTGAATGCATCGCTTACATTTACATCATGACAACAACTGACATACAGCAACAATTCCAGGGGAGGACATTGAGGATCCTCCCACCACATTACTCCAGTCTCACACCAACTCGTCGTGTGTGAATGGACTGCCGGGAATGCTGCCGTGTTGCGCACGAGCTGGGAACTCCCTGCCAGCGGCCACGGGAGGCCCTACAGGAAGGAGCCAGCTTCCTTGGCACGAGCGAGGATGAACAGCTTGACTTGAAAGGTACAGGTATAGTAAACGGGGAAAGGAAGTGGAAGCGCTTGCTCTTCTTTCAAATCCAGTGCAAGCGCTTGGCCGTGTTAATTGAAGAAAGTGCCAGAAATGGCGCAAGATCCCGTGATCTGCGAGTCCGGTGCAGCGATGGCGATGAGTCCAAATGCAAATTGATGACAGCTGAGTGACCAGGCTATGGACCATACTAGTAGTTACCAAGAAAACTACGGTTCTTGCCGAGTCGTTTTGAAAACGGTCCTTTTGTAGAGTGACACGAGTCCAAAATGTTCCACTCCGCGGTTGGCACATGTTTCGGGTCGACGTGAATGTTTCAGGCCCAGAGGAAGTCCATTTGGAGCATATTTTGACAGGAACTGGCACTGGATATGGCTCAAACGAGTTCCAGGCCAGTTCCAGGCCAGTTCAAGTTCAGGCCCAAAGAAAGTTCGGAGGAAGTTCCTTTCCGGGTCACCTGGACTGGACTCTCACACCACTTTTTGTTCAGGATGATTCTTGCGCCGGCGTAGCATCTGCCACATCGCCGTGCTCATTCCCTTTTTGAGGGCCCCACGATCGCCAAATTGCCTCCCTGGCCGACGCGTTTCACAGTTTCACATCACCAACTTACGAAAGCGTCAACGAAAGGCGTGCGAAAGGGCTCCTTTCGAGCGCTGAAGAAAGGAACAAAAGGCGTTCATCAGAATGTGTTTAGATAGAAAGACGGTTGAGGAATCCACCTCAATGGCTTTCACAGCACCCTGCAATCCGACTACAGTAACTCTAAATGATGTTCTCTGTTTGCTGGTCGCGTTTGACCTGGTCACCACTTAGTAACTACCACGACCAGCAAACTGGTCGTGCCCACCGCCACATCAAGGGCTCCCGTAAAAACCTTTGACAATGACACATACGTGACGTGTCACTGATTACTTGTTTCGGTCCTTGCTGCTATATTACATAATTTTACGGGTTTCACTGATTAGAAGCTATCTAATATGGCACTAAAGCAGCGCTCTTGGATTCTGTTTGACACGCCATTGGGTTACTCTCCATGTTGAAATATTTAATTAAACCTATATGGTATTCAATACAAAATTACATTACGGCCAAGCTTGACCGATTCTGCTCACTTGTGACCGCTTGTGTCCCCCCATCGACGGCAGCTGCTACAATTGCACAAAAGATCTACTTGGAGTTTATACCATGATCATGTATGATCATCAAATCAACCCTGAAATTCTCAGAAGGTGTCAACATGTTTGATCTCCAGGTTCGGACCGGTTAGGACCGGTATGGGACGGACTCCTCGAGGCGGAAACAACACCACAAAGGCGATGCACAGCAGCTGTGTCTGTCACCTCCAGCGCCAACGTGTTGTTCTCCTCGGCCTTGGCATCCGCCTTCGTCAGCCTTGGAAGATCTCAGTTTGTTCAAGTCTGAGGTGGGAACGCCATGCCTGAGGTGGTAGCGAATCGCTCATGTTGACACATATTGACCTACAGCATCCTAGATCTTTACCTACTTCGTGGAAACAGGGTTAAGCTGATGGTGATTCAGGCCATATGTTGGCCCAGCTCTATCTCACACCGCATCGGCCAAGGCGCTCACTTCTTCCCGTCCCCAGGGTTGGTGAGTTTCTCAGCACCAACAACACCGCTCTGAGCCTCCCTGCGGTACTGGCACGAGGACCTAGGAGCTCGGTGGGGAGCATCATCCGCCCACGAGGTCGGTGGAGACATCTCCGCATGATATCGGTTGGATAGGACCTATAGCAGGCAGGACCTAGTTCACACATGTTCACACCTTCGTGACAAAGATTGGCCTCCAAAGATCTGGTCGGCCCACTTTCAGCTGCAATCAACCCACTATGGGCAACATCTGGAGAAGAACTTTCAGCCGCACCTCCCCCCATGGGCAAAAAGATCATGGAGTCCCCTCCAAAGATGAGGCAAGTGGCAATAGCCAGTGGGTCCACGCACCAGTTTAACCAGTTCTTTAGCAAAACGGGAGCTGGAAGCTAGAAAAGGCCGTGAAAAACCCGTGAAAACAGGGTGAAAGGCTAGGTCGTGAAAAACCTGTGAAAATTAGGTCTTGGAAGTTGGGATGTGAAATGCGTCCTTTACGCTAACGCACCAGTTTAACCCGTCCTTTGGACTTGCTGGGGAATGATGTATCAAGCGAAGGGGAGGGTGGAATCGCAAATAGGCCAATAGGAGCAGGACCTCAAGTGAAAATTGCTGGCAACCATCAGCAACCATCATGCACCACTGGTGGAATGTTCAACAACCTGCCAAGCACACCCTATACTTGGCTTCAGGTCGTGCAATGAATTCCTTTCTCATCACATGAAACAAAACGAATCATCGCTCGGTCATCACTCTCCAGTCGTCGCTCGTTGAAGGCCTCTCCTCACCGTTCGAAGCCCTTCCCGAGCGATGACGTCTTCTTCACCGAGCGGCCATCTCGTTCACGGTGGCCACGTTGTTCCTGGGGCAGTCCATCAAAAGGGAAGTCTAGGAAAAACGATGGTGAACAGGAACACGTAAATAGCCTGTTCAACAGCATCAGTCAGCTGCTTTTGTGTGGTTCTTAGTTTGGACATGTTTGGACACTACTTCCAAACTGGATGTCATCATCCACAGTTTAAACTTCCATGGTCTTGTATGACTGCCTTAAGCCGGGTGGAGGAGCCTAAAATGCATCCTAAAAGGACCATGCAATGACACAAGGTTGCGTCTATCCCATTACGAGTAACAGTCGATGATGGTGCTTCAGGCCCTGTTCCAAAATAATGTCAATTAATTGTTTACTCGCTGTTACAGGCAACAGGACAAAACACAAAAGGTAGAGATCGTACAGTCCTGTTGGCACACTTGGTCTGTTCCATCTCATCAGAGGTGGTCCAAGTGCCGTCCACGATGAACTTGAACTCGTACCTCAGACAGCAAGGGTTTGGTGGTGAAAGGATTCACAGGTAAACATAGAAAAACAATGAACCACACAAACAAAAGAACTGCCCCACCTCAACCCCTCGCCCTGCATAGAATGATGGACAGTGACAGCTCAGTGGAGGCCTCTACTTCAATGATCACTATGGTTTACCGAGTGGTTTGCGGGGACCACCCCGAACAAAAAGCTCCTACAGCGGTGGCCAATTTCATCGACATTGGGCCGATCCTATGACCGACCGTTACACGCCCACGACTATCCCACTCCACGAAACGACTACTGATGTGGATGTGCGGCATATCAACCGCCTGAAATACGCGCGGATGTTGTTGTGGCACGGTACTTCTTCCACGACATGAAGCTGACACTGTACATACGATGTGTGAAATGTGTCACATGTGTGCATATCTGCTGTAATTTACCAAGTCAGGCAATGTCCCCCCATAAGCATGCTGACCAATACTTGCAAATGGAAACAATTTGCTGTAACCCTGTAACCCCATTCCGCACCGCAGGCGTAGATGCACTGCTGCGGTGACTATCTCCAGCAAAGGACATACAAAACACCCTCCGGTGTCCAGTCATTAGAGGATACCCAAACACCTTCCCAAGCACCTCGGGCCATTCCATGCTTTGATCATGATCATTACAGGAACACGGTCAAAGAAATTTTATGTAGAATGTAGACTTTCAGATTAACTTATACTGTAAACTGTAAACATATGAAGTGGTGTCTTTATTCATGAAAAAAGTTCTGCATAAATGAACATCCCAAGCTGAACATGACTTATCCTGACGGTCCTGACCCCTGGCAAAGAAACGAACAACAGCCTCCCAGGCAGTATAGAGAAGGGGGCATTGAACACGTGTTTCACATCGCCCGAAACCCTGGGATCTCCCGCTCTCCTGCTGGCAGCACCAGCCTCAAATCTTCCATGGGTTGGCATGGCTCCAAAAATGAGGGCGCCGGGGGACCAGTTGATTAAAACAAAGTTGTTGAGCGCCACATACTTGGGCTGGGACATGCCAGGCTTTTTGCACCTAAAGCTTCTGCTCTCTCTCTCTCTCTCTCTCTCTCTGGGGGCCGCTGGGAGACTGCCCGGGGATTGTAGGTCCACTCCTCTTCTGAAGGTTTTCGGAGTTTGCCGGAATTTGCCCACCCACACAGTTTGACCCTGTTGAGTTGAGTGGACCGACAGAAATCACCCAAGGATATCCAAGGCATCAACAGGGTTCGTCCAAGGAATTTGGCATCCCTTCTTTGCCTTCCACAGCCACAGGTCTGCTAGCAGCTAAGCAGCTGCTGAGCATCAGCAACTGTGGCATTGTACGTATATATGTTCATGGAAAGAACGGCAAACCTAGATGATCCAAACAAACATGCGCTAACACGCACACTTGAGAGCTTTAGATTATTTTGGAGTCATTTGATTACATCAGCATCGACAGTGAGCATGCCCTCCTGAGTTGCCCACATCACTCTAAAACCAACGCCAGGGCAGGGCCTTTGTGAGGCAGCGAATGAATTGACCGGATCTGCACGATCCCGGAGCCAACTGCCCTGCAGTTCCGGGATGACCACGTGTAATATGGGATAGGCCCATATAGGGTTGCTCAACCTAACCTGCAAATTGGCCTAGAGTCCTAGAGGTGGTGTCTCCTGCAGGCCCCACATACAACGAAGCCCCTTAAGACCAAAAAATACATGGCAGAAAGTATTGCGGAAAAAGGTCAAAACACACCGGCTATCGTGTGCCATCCACCTTGCAACTTCTTACATCTTGTTGCCCTCCATCCAACAAAGATGGTTACGTGGAACATGGCCCCGAGCCTAGAGGACTGCTTTCTTGTACGAGCAGGCTGTGCCATCCACTTCCATGGATTGTATCAGGGAGTCTGGGAGGGTACCTTACCAAATCTGCATCCAGAACTCCCACGTATAGATCCATATAGGGGATTTTGTTGACCGAGGGTTGGGGCTATAGGGGGCTACCCTACCGCGGCCTCACCACCGAACCCAGACCCGGACGTCCAACCAGGTCCGGACGGCCCGACAACCTGATGAGCGACCCACTCTCGGTTTGTTCAGCGTCCCCCACTCCAGCGCAAGGTCTCGCTTCCAGCCATCCCAGGAGCCCCTCACACGCACGTCGCGCCTGGTCAACAAATGTCAACAGGTCTTGTCTTGAAAAATCCAATGCTTCAACAGTTTCAACTAGAATCATCGGAATGCAACTGATATATCTAAGGGAAGGATGATTGATGGATAAAAGGACAACCCTAGCGATATCCCAAGTCAAGCCAAGCTCATATGTCCCCCGTTTCCCGGATGCTCAATGTATTTCCAGAACTCCTTTGCCAGTCAAAGGGTGCTTGCTGGTGCGATATATATGGTAAACTGTGAACCTACGGACAAACGGGCAACGTGTGAGTCAGCTCCTGCTCAACTCAACGGACCAACGTGTGGAACGTTCCTTTCACGCTGCTTCTTCGCGCACCAAACAACCGAAGGAAGTAAAACAGCAGACTCGGTATAGGACTTTCTAGCACTCCATGGTGTCTGTTTTTCTGCGTGTCGTGTCGCCTATTTTTTCCTCGTGGGCCCCGGACGGGGAGCTACTGCTCCACTGCAACGGCAAAGGCCCGGCCTAGGGACGACGGATCAGATCACTACTGCGTCAGTCTCTGGAGGTTTCACCTGCCGTCGAGCCGAAGCCCCACGGCCGCTTCTAGCTCTGCAGACTGCCAGTGCTGCACGTGTCTCTGTATCTGCATTTTGGGATGGGGGCGGTCTTTGGCAGGGTTCATGCAGTTGCTCAGTGATCTCAGGAAACTACTAAATGCTACCGGTGGTCTCCGGTCTGCACGAGTTCCTCCTGACTCGTCGTGGTTTTGGGCGACGGATCAGCGAAGTTGCTGGAGAAAATCTAGGTTGATGTCCCTGCTGTGACTGTGCCCTCCCAAGACTTTGTCAACTTTCTGCAGTCCACCAAAAGCTTAATGATGAACACCCGTTGTAGTAACTTAAGCATCGGAACATGTATATACTTAAAAACAACAAAAAACACCTTATAAATAAATATATCCTGAAGCTTCATTTGAGCAGAAAAAAGTGCTCGCTTTATTTCTGCTCGACCTTAGGTTTTCTGCTCGAATTGAAGTCCACCAAAAAAAAGCGCTCGAAGCGATCACATCACCATGCCTGTCCCCCCCACAGCACCGCATCACTCATTTTTTTTCATCGCACGTTCTTCTTCAACCATTTCTTCTTCGCCCAGAGCCGTCTATAGTGACTTAAGCACCGAGAGGTTGTTCTCACAGCAATCCCAAAGCAATGACATCGTCGTGTAACTCTGCATACCTTGCGTCAGATAATTCAACACTGCATGCATGACATTCATGAGCCTATGAGTGTTGATGCAAAACACTGTGACATGCATGTGTTCATGAGTTTGCATGCATGCAACCAAGAGTCTCGGCCTATGAAATCTTCATCAACCCAGCAGCCAAAGCCTATACACGACAACAAACATGCACCATGCAAGCCTTGACATGCACATGCCACATGCATGCAAGATTCGGCTAGGATTCAGGATCCACTGTGCATTTGGACGGTCTAGTTGCTTTTGCATCCACATCCTTGGACAGTAAGCCAAAGAACACACAGCACATATCATTTATTTAGAGGTGGCAGTCGGTCACAGTACATAAATGACACAACAAATGTCAAGGCTCATGACCTCCTGCTGCATATGCAGCTTTGGTTTCATCTTGAAAAGGTGCCAGTTCAGACGAACAGCATATCCATTGAGCGCCGCAAACCCTTCCTCAAAAGCAACAGGTCAAGTAGCACTAGCAAGACAGACAAACTCTTCAACTGCTTGCATGCACCATCTCAAAATGCAAACAAAAGACTGTGAAGTTTTGGCATGCCCTTACACAATGTACGGCTGCGTCTCTGTGGATCCAGACTTTTTTGCAATCAACTGCACGGAAAAAGTCATCAATGTTCTGCAGAGTCCACCGAAGTAGCTCAAGTGCATCAGCAGGAGCTTTCTTGGCATGCATGCACTGAGGGACATGGATGCGTGTTCGGGCACAGTCATATTTTTAATTCAAAATAATATTCAATCTGAACATCAGCCAAGAGTCATGGCCTTCACGGAGGCTGCCTTTCAATGTGGCCAGCAGCCACTTGCAGATCAGGGTCGTGTCATGCCCCTTTCCCATAGCCCCTGGCCAGCTCTTCAACCTGATCCATATAGAACAGGCAACCAGCACATGTGTGCATGGCCTTGCAAGGCACTGACACCAATCATTCAAAGTTCGCCAAGCTGCGATTGCATTTTAAAGGTCTTCAGCTCGAACTTGTTGAGGGATGAAGTTTCTGCTTTCCCCATAGCTCCAGATTTGCAAAAGGTATGGAATGACTCAAACGCTGCTTGCAAGCGTTGCTCAAGCTTCCCATCACCAAAGACACGCCAACGTGCTGCAAGAAGTATCTCAGAGTAATTTACTAGTACATCAGATGAAATGTCAGATATGGAAAGCATTGCCAACAATCATTAACAAGTTCATATCATGCCACCAGAGTGCTACTGCGGAACTCCCAAATTCCCTGCCAACGCCATGATGCCATGTGTGCATCACATCAGGAGGTGCACAACACTCACCCCCACCAGGCAGAGTGTGAAGCGAGATAGAACCTTTGACTGCTCTTGGGGCAGGTGGACCTGTTCTCCATTGGGATCCAGGCTTCATATTCCACCATTCCTGATTTGCAAACAGCAACCGTAATGCATGCACAAATGCACTAATGCTTCACATGCAACCACATGCATGCAATCCAACAACATGCATGACATCAAGCAAGTTACAATTGAAGAGCAATAATGGCACTTGCGAGTTGAAGTGAACCCTGACGACAAATGGTGGCATTTTCCTGAGAGCAGCATGCATGCAATGCACATGCTTACTTTACCCTTCAAACATGACAAACAATGCCTGCCAGTGGCTCAGGAAGACCCAATCACCTTTCACACCAACCAGCACCATTCGCAGCTGGCGAATGCTGCCATCCGGCATTGTGACCTGAAAGTGCTGTATATCATTGTCATGACTCATGATTTCATCACACTTTCTACAACACCCTTGAACATCTGAGGCAAAGTCAGAGAAGCCATTGTGGTACAGGTCCATCAGGTCCTGAACCATGTGGTCCTGCAGGATGTCCAGGGAGCTGTCCCCTGCATACATTTCGCCTGGGAGAATGCTGAAGAGTAGTCTGCTGAGCATCGAGTGCCCACGCACACCCAGCAGAGGTTGTATGGACGAGCAAAATACAGCCCTTTTCAATTTGCCTCGCCCCTCATCTCCATGTATTTGTATCGGTATGCAAAGGCTGTAGTCAAAACCGCTGGAGAAGAGCTCATGGTCAAAGACTGCCTGAAACCTACACCAAAAGGTCTGCAACATTGGTCTCCACAAATGTTCGTCCTTCAGCTTGTGGCCAGAGAGAAGTGGTTGTCCAGCTGTTTGGGAAAAGATTGTTTGACACCATGTGCTTGGCGGAAGCACCGGCCAGGGCATGACAACCTCCTTCTCACGAAAGACGACAGGCAATTCCACCATTGTGGTTGCCACACCCAATGTGAAGGCATACTTGTGGATCAAATTGTGCAAGTTCCTGGACCAGTTCTTTTTGTTGGTCCATCCACTGATCTTCTCCAGCAAGCCAATCCAGCCTTATGTACAGGGCATGTTACACACATTCATGAGCATCACAGTTTGTACTCATCAAAGGAGACATCAAGAGACATCCATTGATTGTGGACAAGCTGCTGGTTGATCTGCCAATGATTTTCCCAAAGAGGCTTCCCACTTGCACAACGTGCCTCGCAGAGTCTGCCTAGGTTGAAGACACCAATGGCCCAACAACATGCATGACAGGAGTGCATGCAAGCAGCTGCATGTTCAAACCATGCGGCTCCTGTATCAAATCCTTCCAGCATGCTATCAAGGATGATGTGGTCCATGCCATCTTCAATGTTCTTCTGTGAGTTCGGAGTGGCCAAGTCAACACCTTTGTGCATTTGACGACAAACATCTCATCATGCAACATACGCCGACATGAATGCAAATGTCATTCAAGACGAGCTTCAATGGTCATGCGCAACAGGTGGCACTGAAAGATTTGAAGATGACTCTCGCTTCCTTTTTTTTCTAGATGGAAACAGCGACGATGAGGGTTGGCCTGCAAGGAAAGGAACACCACATCACCAAGCTAACATATGCAGACTGGCGTGCACAAGACATGCGCAGCATCAACATGTCTCCACCGGCATGCCTTCAGGGGGATCGAACATGCCTCCAGCAAGTACTCACAACCCAAAAGTGGCAGCCACAGCAAGCGTGAAGGCAAGCAAGTCAGGTGTGCATGCATGCATGCGTGCATGCATACATGCATGCTTGCAAGTGTGAAGACCAGCTTTGTTTTCTCTAGATCGCAAGGCCAGTTGGCGCTGGTTCAAAAATCAGTCCGACATCTATGGAAGCTAGATCAGTCAGTGCGAGATTTCTTCTTCTTCGACCTAACATGAATGGATACCATGACATGAAATGACAACATGCAAGACAAAATCATGAGTTTCAGGCAAAACAGCTAAGTAGACTGCTTGGCATCGTCAGATTCTTCTTCTGACTTAGCCCTCTTCGACGATCCTGTGCCTTTTTCCTTTTTCTCCTTGTCCTCTTTCTTTTCCTTCTTCTTCGCCTTGGCTCTCTCTGCTTTAGCAGCACGCTCCTCCTCTGTCTCAGGTGGCTTCCAGGACCTCGACACATGGATGCAAGCAAGCTTCCAATACAGTCAACCCATGAATGCAAAGAAACATGCAAACCACCACGAACACATACAGGACTCTCCAAGTTGCATAACAACACTTGACCAAACTGTGTATGCAGACAGATACACAGACTCAGCCCCATACTTGGCACGGACCAAAAAGGCATTCAGCTCACAGTCGTTCTTGGTGATCTTGATCATTTCACTCACCAGTTTGTCTTTGTCGGCCCTGCGCTAGTCCAGCACACAACCGAGCAAACAAAGAAAACACATTTAAACAAGCTGCATAGATGCATCTCAGGTGGCCACTTTGTCGGAACTTGCCCAACAGACTGACACTGTAGCTCAATGAGGGATGTGTTTGATGCTTGCATGGCAGTCAAGGGCTTCACAATCGCAGAAGCATACCTCAGACAAAGAATATGTTTGCATGTGCACAGATCCATGCTAATCCTCAGAACCTGACTCAGTGGCCCTTTTATCCGATGGATGCTTATCGAGCTTCTCCTGTCAAAAGCATCCCCTCACAAAGGATCAATGAAGAAGCCTGAATGGTGCACAGCGCCTTCAGGACCATCCCATTGTCAATCTTGCGCCCCAAGATGACCAACACACTTGGCAGAAGTTGAAATGGGTCCGTGGTCTGAGAGATCGATGGGAACTGGAGCTTGTCAGGGGCGCCTTTGGTCCTTGAATCATTACAAGTGTCACAAGCAGGTCATGCATGAAGATCAGCCAAATATGCAAAGCAGGGCATGTATGAATGTCAATCAAGTCCATGCAACATCATGCAACAAGTAGCACCAA